TTGTCTTAAGAGGAAAGGGGTTTGTAGGATTCGTCCTATAAATATGTACCTTTGCTCTTCATTTTATTCAGTCGATCAATAAAATTAGTAATTAATAGAAAAAAATAGCTCTATTATCGTGTTTTCTAGTTCTTTCGCTAAATCGCTCGAGATCACCGGTGCGTGAAATCCCGTCACGCATCAAAGTACTAATCGTTTCATAACAATGCTTCTTGCCTCTTGGACAGTAATCCCACACATCTGGAAAGTACTTGAAGGTTGGTCGATCGTGTGTGGCTTGGCGATGACGCATCAATTCATTATTAGCAGCTAGCTAGCTACTGGTTTCTGTCTCTATTATATGCGCATGGCCGAATCTATGAATCATGGGGCCCGTCGGCGGCGAGAGCTTCTTCTCGTTTTGACGCGGCTCGGCGAATTGGCCCCCACCTGTCCGTGGGGAAAGCTCGGTGGGTTGGGTTCTCATCTCATTTGCCGCTCTGTATCTCTGCAGAACATGAAAGGCCAATTTTCCCGGATTAGAAGCAAATTTGTCTCCTTCTCATTCCTTTTTTCTGGTGGGCTGCGAAGTTTAACCTTTTTATACGTTTTTGGCCTGCAAATTAGACTTCTGGAGCCAATCCCTTTGACTTAGTTCGCAGAATCTGGAGGAGCCGAGCCGGGCAATCCCACCAACTTATTCTGCCTTTCATATTCTGCAAATTAAGTTAACCAAACAAACAAACAAACGTTATCCATTACATGAGTGACCGACTTTTTTCAAACACAGTAGTAGTGGTGTCGGCATCATCACTCGTCACCATCAACAAAGTAGCAATGTAGCATGGCTGTTAAGTGTTACTGCATAAAAAAACTTGGGCTTTCAGGCCAAAAGGAATTTCTCACGGGATCAAATGGTGGGTTGCTTGGTCCATCTGGCTCTTACGAGGATCAAGAATCACCCTAGCCTCTTGGCTCTTATGGGAAATCTGAACTGCTTAGGCCTTGTTACTTCTGCGGCTTCGTCGCAAGGAAGGATCGTTGGTTGCTCGAATCAAGGATAATTAACTGATGTAAACTTAACAGAGTTGATCGACCAAATCTGATGCAATTCACTTTTACCTCTGTTCGTAGTTCTTACCCACTTGAAATAGAAGTTTACCCTGGACATCAATGCGTGTAAGTTAGCCCCTCTTCAAATCATTGTTTTGACTGGTTTACTTCACATGAACGTTACTAGCTTAGTGCAAGCATATACCCCTGGAGGAATTTTACAATGCTATATAGTATTGGTGCTATAGGTTTTTGCCTTATGGTACAACTTGAAATTGTACATTTAACGTTATGGTACAACTTTATATTATACCTATACTGTTTGTACAAATTCTTTTATGGTACAACTTGAACTTGTACCTTTATGTGATGGTACAACTTCAAGTTGTAAAGTTGTACCACAACATAATGGTACAACTTCTTTTATGGTACAATCTAAACTTATACATTTCATTATATGGTACAACTTTAAGTTATACATTAAAGCACTAATACTATATAGCATAGTAGAAATGCTCATACCCCTGTCGTCATGACAAGTAGTGAAAGAAGCAAATGATGCAAAATGATATTGTTTTGGCGTCATCCCTTTAAATTGAAGCAACCCTCTGGGTCAATGTGGCCCTTAGTTTCTTGTACGATAAGGTAGGCTTGTTCTAGAGTGTTAAGAATCGAGGGGACCGTTTGACCAATCATGACTCGAATGATACAGGTGTGGGGTCAATTTTTACCTTCCTTTGAATTCAAACCTTGAGCTTTAAGCCAGCGAGCAATATGATAATCATGAATTAACTAAGTCACAGTCCACCAGTTGATTACAAGCACAACAGCAATTATCAAAACACAAAACTCAAATCTACAACATTCGCCTAAGGGCGATCGAGGAGATTACAACAAAGCCACCTTCTGTTCTAACTTGGCTTGAAGAACTTGAGCTTGAGTCCACTGTTGACCATGCTCCAAACACCTCCAATGGTGAAGGCCAGACTGAATGCAATCCCAAGCCAGCCCAGGATCCAGTTGAAGTACCAGTTGAAGCTGTACTTGGTGGGCTTCTTGATGAGAATCCACATGAAGCATGGGTATGCAAATGTGACTGGGAGCGTCATTCCTCCCAGAAGACCAGCAAGGCTTGACAGGAATGGCAGTGCCACTCCTATGAAGAAGTTGACGAATCCGTAGAAGACCCGGAACCCTGATCGGACCCAGATCGAGCATGGCCGGTTCGTCCGGCTCGTATAGCTGGCCTCGAAGCTGTCGAATACCGGCATTGAGTATATCTGGAAGCTGCTCAAGCAGTTGAATACAACTAGGAGGAATGTCATTGCTAGAAGCCCTCGCGAGATGTCGTGGCTGTGGAAGCCATAAAGGGCATTCAGAATTCCTCCTGATGGCATCTGAAATGAGAGGAGGACAGAAAAACATAAATCATGTCTATTTTCACTTTTCAGACACCCTACAAACCAACAGAGAATACAAGAAGTTGATCATTTGGTTTACTTACAAGGTTACCATAGGCCCAGAAGCCACCAATTGCAACAGGAAACAAGCACATTGCTATGAAGAAGTATGCAACCTTAGCTCCTCTCCACATTGGCACATGAGCTGGGTGCTTGAAGGTAGACGGCATTGTTGCCTAACATCATCAGATAAGCCTTACATATCAGATCAAACAAAACAATCAACTATGCTTGCAATGCACTTGAAATGTCAACGTTGATTTACCTGAATCTCGAGAACAAGATTGTGGCCCCTGAATGCAAAGGCCACGATTCCGAGGGCATTCAGAACAGAGAAGACAGATGCAGTGGAAGACGGTAGTGAAAGAGGTTCGTACGAGATTGTAGGTGGCCTCTGCTGGCTAACAGAGAGCACCCACACCATTGTGGAGTAAGTGATGGCTGTTATGGCACCAATGAGAGAGAGTCCAGCGATTGAGTTGAGATTCGGAAGCTGAGACAGAACGATGCAGAGAGTAGTGAACACGAGGTACCACTCGACTGTCGTGAGGGGATTCGATGTACATATCGGTCCACAAACTATTTGGAAGAACAGTTTCATGGTCTCTCCTCCTATGAGAATCAAAGCTGTTGCAGTTCCAGCTGATAAGTATACAGTTGGGAAGACTGCAAGCCAAAGGCCCAACCTTTCACCTGCAACAAGCCATGATTCGACAAATTGAATCCTCTGCTAGTGTACATAAGTACCAATTAACGGTTAAGAACGTATTGCTCACCAAACGCAGCTTGAGCGAGCTCAACATATCTGTTGTATCTCTTCCCTGGAACTGCTTCATGAAGCTGGACTAGAATCCACAACGTGTACATTTGCCAGATATAGGCTATGGTCAAGGACAGTATTCCCCAGCTCCTGCACAATTGGTGTTCAGAATGACGATCAAGCTCAGCAACAAAAAGTCCATCATTGCAGGCATGGTTTCATTTCAGCAACAGAACAACCACCGACAGCAACTTGCGCCCATTATGAAAGTTAACGAATTACAATAGTAAAAGGTACAATCAAAAGGAAAAGAAAAGCCGGTGTCAGTATTAACTAACCATAATGGAAATATGTAATTGTCCCCTACGCCGAGCTAATTGGACAAAAAGTAAAGCAAGCACGCTACTTTTTCAGGACCCCATTAATGCAATTCGGCCTAGATTATGCAGAATCATAAATATTAACCAAATCTGAACTTTACTTCAAACATGTTCACACATTCCCCTTTCGTAGATTTCGAAACAAAAGAAGAACAAACGAGCCAGAAAATTGCAGAAGCAAAAAAGAATCAACTGCAATGCAATGCATTGCTGCCAAACACTTAACTCACACAGGCATTTATTCAAACAGCGAGCGAGCATAAAACAACAAAAAGGGCAGAAAGCAAAAGAACCCAAATTAATTACATCCCCGCTCGGACATTTACCGATACAAAAAGCAACCCAGAAAAAAGAGCAGAGTGAATGTGTTACCAGCCAAGGAAAGCGAAAGCGACGGGCAAGACGAGGGCCTGGAACCCAACGCCGGCGTTGAGGTTGTGGAAGGCAGCGTAGTGAGCGTTCCCATTTCTGGACTCGGTAATGGGCAGCCAGGCGTCCTGCGGGTTGAGCTTGGTGAGATGCCCAACTTCCTCCAGGTAACCTTTCATGTTCACCAGCACCCTCTTCATCGGCGTCCCAATGGGGCTCAGAAACCTCGGCGAGATGAACGACGTCGGCGTCCACGCCGTCGAGGACTTGGCCTCCTTGGACGGCGGCCGCGGCGACCTCTGCCCCGACGGCGTCAGTATCTCCGGCGTCGACGCGCGCGGCGTCGCCGGGATGGATATCAGCTCCGTCTCCGGCCTCTCCTCCATCAATGCCAGCTTCGAGAGAGTTTGGTTGAGTTAGTTTTGACTGCTGTGAGGTTTTTGGGGTTTTAGTTAGTGAAGAGGAAGAAGAAGAAGAAGTGACCAGTGAGAGAGGAAATGGGTGGGACCCGCTCTGGAGGAAAGGAGGAGTGGGGAATCTCTGAAGAAGAAGCAGGGGGGATTATGAGAGTTTGCACATTCAGGATATCAGCCGTTGATCGTGCATGATGATGCAGGAAACGGAGGGTGGCGATGGGTGCTTTTGTTCTTGGGTTGATGAGGTTGACTGCTTTCTACTTGGGTGACGAGTGTTTTTTGACTGAGAGAGAAAGAGAGATGGGAGTGTGTGTTTTTTTCTGCTTTGTTCTCTTGTTTCTATCAATTTATAGGAGGAAGTGATGCTGGTGAAGCCTCAGCTTTCTGACTGCGGAACCCAATATGGCAATTTTTAGTTGTCTTTTGTTGTTATTATTGAACTAAAAACCATAACAAGAGACCGATCGAAATACCTATGTAGGGGTCGTTTGGATGGATCATTTACAAAATGAGTCAATTTGGTGTAAATGTCTCATTTTACAAAATGAGACAATTGTATAGTATATTTGTCCCAAATTGCCTTGTTTGGCTTGTTATTTGAGATGAGGCAATTGGGATGTGACTATTACTGAAAATACACTTTTGTCCTTGTTTTAATACCCTCATTCTCCATCTTCCTCTTTTAGAACAAGCCAAGGTAAAAGTCTTCACAGACCACAGGTTGAGAAACAGAGCATCGGAAATAAACCCCAAAGCCCAGGTATAGCGAGACATTCATTCCTCTTTCTTCCATCTCGATAAGTAATATAAATTAATTAACGCCCATCTTGGATTCCCTCAACTTGCTGGACGGTGGTCGGCTCAAATCTCTTGCTCCCACTACCGCCACCGCCACCCTGACTGCTGTTAATTCCGTCACCCTGGTGGCTGCTGCTGCTACTCTTCTCCTTTTCTTTCCTGCTCGGCGTCGCCGCCCCTGCCTTGGGCAGCCTCCTCGGGATGCATTTCGTGGCCGCGGCACTGCGGCGGCCACCGCTTCCTTCCATCTCCTTCTCCCCCAGTTGTTGCAACTGTGACATCCTGCTGCGCAAATTCAATTATCAGAATATCTGTTGCAATTAATAAGTCAACTCTGTCACAGCTAAGGGCAAACAACGAGCAAGAATAATTGAAGCAATCGAATTCCCCTGGTCCTGGATCAAAGCTTGACTAATTTGAAGGAGCCATTATTAAAAAACAAAACAAAATCGAGACAAAAAAATGGGGTTTTTGTCTAAAAAATTCTACCAAAAATGGCCCAGGATTTCTCTACGCTGATCCAGATCTACAAAGACGCTTGTGTCGAGCGACTACTGTGAACCGCCACCAACATATATATCTCTCTCTCTAATCTGGTCGCCGGCGATCGAACCTTCTCCGGACCTTTCTTCCATGTCCTGCGGCAATAGATTTTGCACTTTTGACTCCTGTTACTGCTCTTTTGGTCTCTAGGCTCTAGCCATCTGGAACGATTTTATACCCAAAACCAGTTGGGGGAGGAAGAGGGAGGCATGGGGAGAGAGAGAGAGAGAGGAAGAAGAAGAAAAGAAGAGAAGAGATGTCTCGGTGGTTTCTAGAAAGTGAGAGAGGGGAAAGAAAATGAAAAAGGAAAAAAGAAGGGGTAGCTTTGGAAAAAGTGAACATAAAATGAAGCAATTGAGAAAACCTCCCCCATACCCAGGTATTTTCAATTGTCTCATAATGGAGCAATCTACAATTCTCCATGTACAATTGATTCATTCTTTTTTTTGGTAGCCAAATGAGACAATGTGTTCCAATTGTCTCATTTTGAGACATTTGTGTCAAATTGCTCCATAAGAAAGATCCATCCAAACGACCCCGTAGTTGGGTGGGATTTGGAGCAAGGTTGAGAGTCTGCTTACGGTTTGATGGTTAAATCATGGTGATGGTTTCAATCCGTCCAAATCATTGTTAATAGTTAGTACGTTTCAATAACTATTTTATTATAGGCTAAATTTAATTTAAAGTGGTATTGTCATATAGTGGCAATCAAGTTCGTATTCACTCGGGTCTTGGTACCCTAGCGGCCTAGCCTAATTCTCACGTTGTTGTTATATAGTCGATCGATTTAAGGGTTTGTAATGGAGGATTCAAGCGGAATAAATAATAGAGCGAACAAATAAGGATAAAAGCAGCTACTTCGGGGAACTAGCCCTCACCCTAGCCTAGGTCTACTATGCAATGTCTACATAAATAGGATTTGTCGAATGTGGTGAGTGAGCTCTTTTCGGTGGATTTTCGTGGTTATCCACACATCTCCGAGTACGCATCCTCTAAACCCATGTCAGTCACCTCGATCTAGACTATCGTATCTGGGGCATTAAGAACATAGCTCATTTCAATGGGTACTACCCACTGTCCACACCGAGGTTTTATCTCGATTTCAATCTGAGAAGGCATTCTTATGCAGGGGTACGATCGCCTTGTCCACCATAGGATCCTATTCATACATCTAACCTCAATTTGCTTGATGGCGCATGCCCGTCTAACCCTAAAACTCCATACCCAGCGTAGAAGCTCAAGTAGGCTAGTAGATAAAATTACGGCGGCTTACCCAAACACATTCAAAGCTAGAGAAACAATGAAATCAACTAGATAAACCAAAGATTGAAATATCGTACCGGAGGTTGTACATAAAAATTTAGCAGTAGGGTATTTGAAACTGAAATCGTGATTTAACTGTGGTTCAACCATTTTATACCACTAAATACCGCCTACTGGTTTCGCTTCTGGTAGGAGGGTTTTCTGGTCGAACCATTGGTACGGTACTATTGTTCAATCCTAGAGATAAACACATTTATTCATTAAAATCTTAAAATATCCATTCATTACATAGTAACTCTAGAACTAGAGTTTGGGGTTTAGAACCCCTAGTACCTTAGAGGACTACTCCATAAAGGAGGGAAGAAGATACATAGAAGAAATTGGGGAAGACTTGATGTTGAGGAATATGACTCCACTCTTCTAGCTACACCTACTTATTCTCTTCTCCTTCCTTAAGTTTCTATCTCTTCTTTCTCTCCCTAACCAGAAAATCCATCTCAAAATCAGCTCTCTTGAATGGGGGAAGGGGGTCTTCCATTTATAGCCTTTAGAGGACGGAAAAGTTCGCGGCCAGGTAGTATGAAGATCGCGACCGTGAACTTCTTACTTGAGGTTGCGATCTGCCAACACCGTCGTTTTAGCCTTAGAACACGAGATGTTCGCGGGCTGACTTCATGGTCGCGATCCGTGAAGTGTGGCCGCGAACTTCCTCGCGGTCAATGTGAATTGTGACCGTGATTGAACTGGGAAAACTCTCTGTTTCTCCTCTCTGACTTCTTCATGAAGTTCGCGCCCTGAGTCTCCAAAATCGTTGCCTTGATCTTAGGACCTCAGGTCGCGATCTTCGCCTTGAGTTTACAATCTGTGTTCTCGGCAGTGATCTCCATCTCCAGGCCGTGATCATCAACATCTTTTCCCTTTTCTCTACACTTGCGTCCTTTTTCGTACCTAATTCGCATGTATTTTCTAAAGCACTTTAAAATCACATCATAATCAAATAGAAACGAAATGGGGATGCAATCAATGTTGTTCAAATGATTATGCACATTAATTAGCACGAAATAAACCTAAACATGAAGGGAAAATAACACCAAATTAGGTATTATCAAACTCCCCCACATTTAGGTGTTTGCTTGTCCCCAAGCAAACCTACTCAAACCAATGCAACTTGATAAACAAATCAAGGCGGGATGCACCCTAGTTCTTCATTGCATTAAAAAGAGTAGGCATAGACGAGAAAACGTTACTATCATCTTACTGAGCACGCACAAACTCTTGGGTAAGAACCATATTTACTACCTTAGGTCGAACATTCAAGGTGTGCAGCGGGGGACTTCTCAATTATCAAATAAGCACAAGAACTCTTGAGGGTTCTGTTTATTCTTTCTTTCGATTTAGTAGTTGTCGTTTATTGGTCTCTTTTTTCTACGTCGACGCGCATTGCACAAATATTTTGCAAGTTTTCTTGCAAGCAAGCATCTCTCCCTCACGAAGCTAGGCAAGTGATTGTAACGGAGAAAAAATAGAGCGGTAGAGGGCTGGTCTTTTCGTTACAAGGTTATCAACAGTTCAGGGGAAGAGGTTCTTAGCTGTTGAGGGTTTATACAGATCGGATTGTGATCTGGGGTGGTGGTTGTTTGGTTTTTCAGTTTTTATACTTTGTCTCGTTTATCTTTTGCTTGATAGGAAAAATCATAATAAAAAAGATTCTCTCGGAAAATAGCAGGTACTAATTCCGAGACGAGGAGTGACCAGTAGTTTGGGAACCTCGTTAAATCGCGTGTTCTTTTCGATTCAGTTCTGGTTTCATTCCTTCTTTTCTTTTGGTTCTCTGTCCCTGTTTCTGGGTTTCTGTTCTGCTCATCAATTCCTTTCAAAGGAAGAAGAAGAAAGCAGAAGCTCTCTTACGTGATTTGTGTGCCTGGGCTTGAGTGAGAAAAGCCCAAATCTGTTCTCTTTGATTTTTTTGGTTTTTATTTGGGCCATTTAATTTTCAGTCCAATTGTTTTTTTCTTGGTTGTGTCTTAGTCGAGCATCAGAGCTAGAGCTCTTGTCCATCGTTTTCCCCTTCTTCGCTGCTGGTTTTGGTTTTGGTAAAAAACCCTAAAATCTAATCTCTGTATCGTTTCATAGTAGGTATGAGTGGTCCAAGTTCTATTGCTTCATCACCATGTTTAAGAAAGGGATTGTTACCTTCAATTGCTTCAAGGTGTCCTTCCATGAAGCACATTCATGATATAGATCACTTTCGAACAACCTTCTAGGATAAGGAGCTTTGGGTGTTGGATCGGGTGCTTGAGCTTTCTTTGACTTCTCTCCATCTTCAATCTTGATTTCAATAGTGGGTTACACGTCTTTCCGAACTAACTCTTCTTTCTGAACGACCTCGCGTCGAACTTCTCTTACTGATATCCTTGTTGTTGATATAGGAACCTCCTTCAAGGTTTGGTCACTCCTTAGAATTACCGTATGACATCCCTCCTTAGGATTAGGTTCTGTATTGCCCGGCAAAGTTCCTTGTGGTCTTCACGATAGAGTTTGTGCCAACGATCTTAGTTGGGCTTCAAGGTTTTGAAGTGAAGCTTGTTGATTCCTTTGACTCGCTTCCAAACTTGAGAATTTGGTCGTAGTATTCTCTATAAACCTGTCAATGCCTCACACTTCTTGTTGAAGTGTGTGACTAATTGACCTACCAAGTCTTCAAGTTTAGAGACTCGACTATCGGATGGTCGACTTTGTTCTTGGTATGCTCCTTTGTATGAGGGTTGACTCGGCCTTGGGTAAGCATTTTGCATAGAAGCTTGAGATTGAAACCCCAAAAGCTTTCTATCCGTCGAAGAAGACCAAAGAAAGTTAGGATGGTTCCTCCAACCCGGTTTGTATATAGAGCTATAAGGGTTGTTTCCTTGGGATTGCCCTCCAACAAAGTTGGCTTGCTCAAATTGTATCGAGGCCTCAATCATAGACTTGCACTCCTTCATAGTATGACTTGAGTCGCCACACCAATCACATTTCATGAGTTGCTTCCTATTGCGTTTCATTGATGAAGCAACTTGATTAATTTTCTTGGAAAGTTCTTGTAAATGAACTGCTAACGAGGAAGGTTCTTCAATCGTTAATAAACTTCCCTTCTTCATACTCTTACCTCTCCTTTTTTCCCCTCAATCGTAGCTATTAAGGGACGTTTCTTCAATCAATCTTTGAATTTCACCGACTTCCTTGTTCCTTATGGCACCTCCACTAGCCCCATCGACGAGGTGGAGTGACTCCCTTGTCAAACCATTATAAAAGCTTTCCACTTGTAACCAATCGACGATGACATGGTGTCGACATTTGAGTATGAGAGATGTAAACCTTTCCCATTCTTCAAACAAAGGTTCATCATCTTCTTCACGGAACATAGTAATCTTGCTTCTCATTAGAGCCGTCTTGGAGGGTGGAATATACCTTGCGAAGAACTTGTTACAAAGATCCTCCCACGAGTTGATTGAGTGATGGCGAAGTTGATGGGTGGATTTGTCTTAGCCCGAGCACCACTTTCATGCCTGCACTCCACATTGGGTTGTCCCACATGTTGGGTACAAACGAGAGCTTTAGAGGTCTGATGAAGTGCTAAAATGTACTTTGTACCTTGGCATACGATTTTGTGAGGAGGAAAGATGTTTGGGGATGGTAAGTAGTAAGAGATGGTCGGGACGCGATAAAGCTATCTGATCCCCAAACATATCCTCAAAGGGTACTCCGAACCTTAAGGGTCGGTTTCCTCTCACGTGAGAACCTCTTTTTAGTGGATTTTGAGCTAAAAATTTATAGAAAATTCCGCACACATGTTCTTCCTAAGATAGCAGAAATTATCAACTCACCAAAAAGGAAGACGATAGTAAAATCCCTCATACACCAGTACTATAATCATGCAACTACTCACTAGAGATCACAACACAT